CCAGCCGCTGCCACATTCATAGGTTGGAGAGGGCCTGGCGGAGGGCTGCCTTGAGTGGTGTGAGCACTGGGCTTGGAGTGAGAGACCGCTCGCCGCTAGCTGTAGGCCTTGGGTCAGTCACATAACCCAACTCTTTGAGCCTTGGGGCTTGCTCATTCATTCATTTAATAAGCACCTGGTGTGCACCAACACCTGGGGCCCTAGCAGCATAGTGGGTTACACTTTGGGCTGATACCACAAGGTCCGCAGTTGGAAGCCACCAGCTGCTGTGCCGGTGGCCAAGGCTTCCCGCTCCCTAAGGTGTCTCGGGAGGTTCTCCCTGGTCCTGGAGGCTCCCCAGGGGTTGGAGTTGACCTGGCGGCGGGAGTTTGAGTTTTGCGTGTGTTGGTGCCAGGACACAGACACGGCCCGTCCGGACGGGCCACTGTTCTTAGCTTTGGTAAGTCCGAGTCCTTTGAGCACGACGTCAATGACATGGCTCTCCTAGGAAAGAGGCAGGAAGCCGAGCGTTGAAAGAAGTCCACCGAGCCCTGGCAGCACGGCGGTTCATGCTCTCAGCTGCTAACCCAAAAGGCTGGCCATTTGAACCCACCCTGTGTTCTGCAGAAGAAAGATGAGGCAGTCCCATGCCGTAGTGGTTCTAACTCTGTAGGGCCATTCTACTCTGCCCTGGAGGGTCACTGTGTGTCAGAATCCACTCAACATCCCTGGCTTTGGACCCTCAGAAGCCTGGTACCCTGGCTGGGACCCTTGGCCTGACCTGGCCCCGGAGCTGGGAGGGGAGAAGACGAGGCAGAGATTTCAATCTTGTAAACTGACATGCCTCGGACGAGTACAGTGTGGCATCCTCTGGGCAGTAGGGGAGCCCTGGTGTCGTAGTGGTTACTCATTAGGCTGCAGTCCTCAAGGTCAGTAGTTCGAATGCACCAGCAACTACCCTGGAGAAAGACAGGACTTTCTACTCACAGTCTCAGAAACTCGCAGGGGCAGCTCTACCATGCCCTGTAGGGTTGCTGTGCATTGGTATTGACTTGCCGGCAGTGAGCAGTGAGAAATGTAGTCACTGTGATTATGCCTTTGTTCCTGGTGATGCCAGCCAACTCCCCTGGGAAACGGAGTGCCGTGTTCACGGCATCTGGAGAGTCCATGATACAAGACTCTGTCTGCATTCTGAGAGTCCAGCCTTGCTCTCCTGGAGTGCCCAGTTGTCCCCAGCTAGCCCCAGCAAGGAATGAATTCAGAGCTGTGGACCAGACATGCCCTCTGGTCCTTCCTGAAAACCTTCCTGCCTTTCTACAAAGACTGTTGAGGAATGAGCCTCATCCTCTGGCGTAGCTTCAGGTTCCTCTTCCTGCCTCCCCACTAGAGCTTCCTGGACTTGGTGGCGGATGAGCAGTAGGGCCAGAGCTCATCCTTGTGCTTGGTTTGGCCGCAGTCTCTCCAGGGTCCACAGCCGAAGACTTGGGCCCATCATTCCAGAATCACCAAGGCACGAAGGGCTGAAAATGCACCACACCTTGGTGTTCTCCAAGTGGTGGAACTCACCTGCACAGCACACCTGCGGTCCCTAGAGACGAATGCTTGTGTGCAGCACCGAGGGCCTTATCAGCACCTGATATCAGGCCCTGGATCCGGGCGCCCAGTGGCCCGCAGAGCACGAAGATCCTGTCAGCGGTGTAAACAGTGACATTCTGTAAACATAGCAATTTTCCCAGGCGCCTCGCCCACACTCGCATCATGTCAATCAGCCGCCAATAGGTGGCTCTCATTGTTGAGCTGCAGCTGAAGATCTCCTTAGTGTACAGGTCTGTGTTTTAGAGCCTCCAAGGTGCTCAGGAATTCCCCCAGGAGATGGCCTGCCAGCCTGAAGAGCTTGCAGAAAGAAAGAGCCCAGAGGACAAGCTAGGCACAAAGGAGACTCAAGTTCACGGTGCAAAGCACAGCCACCCCTGGAAGGAGGGTCACTGCCCCCACTTTGAAGAAAATGGCTCGAGGCTCTAGAGCTGATTCGAGATGGAGATGCTGCCCCAGGTCTTCCCATCACTCAGGACCCCAGGGCTTGGCCAGCCTGCTGCCCCTCAGCCATGATGTGCTGGATCCCACCTGCTTGCCACATGCCCAGCTTGGCATCAGTCACATCCGTGGGCAGGTACCCATTCCTGGGATTGCCTTTGGAGAGCCGGTGTGTTAAGCATTTGTCACCACACCACACCACTTCCTGGCACTTCCCCCATCAGCCTCACCCTGTCTTCGGAAGCCCTTGTTTCCTTACCACTGAGCTGCCTGACACCCAGAGAGACTTGTGCCGGGGGCTTTAGACCTGCATCGAAGGCGTGGCCTCCAGAAAGCCCCCTGAGCCCGGCCACACAGCTGTGACTCTTCCGGGAGCAGTTTACAGCTGTGGGGCTCATGGAGGGTGTTGAGGGCATTTACTGACAAGTATTGATTGGTCTGCTGCTGTTGATGGATTTTCCCGGGTGACGGCCATTTATAGTGGGTCTGTCACTCTCTTAATCTCTCGGGCACATTTCCTTTTTCAAAAGAACAGGAATAGAATTTGGCATGGGAGGGAAACCAGCCCCCTCTCAGGAGACCTTGAGCAGTAATTGCAAGTGTTAATATTGATTGAATTGCAATTGTTAATGTTGATTGAGTGGTTGCTAAATGCCACTTACCATTCCATGTGATTGGCATGTTTGCTGTAATACAGTATAGGGAGCCACACGCATCCGTGGGTGCACACACACACACACAAGAAACCCTTGCACACACAAAAAGAACAGGACGTGGGGAAATCATGAGTCCCTGTTGGCACACACGGTTAAGCATTTTACTACGAGCCCATAGGTTGGCGGTTCAAACCCACCCAGAGATGCATAAGGAGGCAGGCTTGTGGTCTGCTTCTGAAAGGTCACACACGGCCCTGAAACCCTGTGGAGCCATTCTCCCTGCCCATGCGGGCTCACCATCAGGCCCAACCAAGTCACCAGCAACCGTGGGGAAAACAGGGTCAAAGCAGACCCACTATGCAACTTCATCAGCAGAGTACAGACATGCCTCAGAAATCCCGCTCTGCGCCGAGAACTGTGCACAGCTGGGCGTGTGTGTGTGTGTGTGTGTGTGTGTGTGTGTGTGTGTAGGGCATGCCCAGCACAGGTGCTAGGGTTGGTTTTCTCAAACCAGATCCAACCGAGTGCCCGTGTGCACTAACCCTTCACAGACTATCATCTGCTCAGGCTGCTCCAGGTCCCCTCACCCGAGAGCAAGCCCCTACTAGACAGTCAATGTAGAAATGCTGCTTATACGTTACGCCGTCATCATTCTGGAATTTACCAGCCACGTGTGAACCAGTGGAGGTTGCCGAGTGATGCCAAGTAGAGCAGACAGTGCTGACGGACGGAGTACTGGCGTTGACGATGGTGGAGGCTTCTGTCAGAGGATGGAAAGTGATACTCATGCTCTTCTTCCGAACAGCCTGGAGACCTGGGCCTTAAGAAGGAGCCCAGCCCAATTCACCTGTTCTCTCTCCTCCCAGACCCTGGCGCCTGCCATCAACTGGCTGCCCTTTCTCAACACCATCTTCTACCCTGTGGAGATCAACGAATCGGAACCCATCGTGGTCTATGACAAAGAGTACCTCAAGGAGGTGTCCACCCTCATCAAAAACACAGACAAGTGGTAAGGGGCCCTCAGCACCCTGGGATGGGCCTCTCAGCCAAGACAGGTGCTTGTAGGGGTGAGGGGCGAGAAACGGGCCGTGCTGCCTGTGATGAGGAGCATCAGGGGCTCATGGTTACAAGCACAGGTTCCAACCCCATGTCCGCCACTTACCAGCCTCGCAGGACCTTCGTCGGGTTCATTTTCCTGCTCTAGAAGATGAGGGCACCAATAGTACCCCTTACAGCCATGGTTCTCAACCTTCCTAATGGCACAGCCTTTCATGCACTTCCTCATGTGGTGGTGGCCCCGCAACCATCGCATGATTTTTGTTACTAGTTCCTAACTGTAATTTTGCTACTGTTAGGAACCGGGCGACTCCTGTGAAAGGACTTCTACCCCCCAAAGGAGTCGCAACCCACAGGTTGAGAACCACTGCCTTAGAGACTGGTTGTGAGGCTCAAGGGGAATAATATAGTGTGGCATGTTTTATCACAGGCCCTGATACAGGCTGGGACTCAAGAAATGTTAGCCAGTCTTGTTAATTTCATGAATATTTATACGGCTTAAAATTTTTTCAAGGCTATAGGCTCTTTTGTTAACTATTTTGTTAATTACCCCAAACCTCCTCTTGGTCTTTGGGGCAGTGTCTGTGCCTGTGTGTGTGTGTGTGTGTGTGTGGTCTGCTTTTTCCCTGGACCTTTACCGTCAGCCTTCCCCCACGTCGTCCGGACAGCATTTGCCATGGCTCAGTGCTGGCCCGTCAAGTAGAAATAGACTCCTTCCCTCTCTCCCGGAGTCCGGCATTTAAGTTGGTTCTGATCCAGAGTCACTGTGGTGCCCATCTTTGTTGCTAGGGTGACTTCTTTGTAAAGGTGACAACAGCCATAGGTTGCCTGTGCCCCAGGCTGTCAGCAGGGAGAGGTTTCCTTCACGGAAACCATGACCCGGCCAGCTGGAGCTCCCTACCCTGCCCCTGTTACTCTTGAGCCCACCTTTCCCTCTCTGGCCTCTCAGGGTGTGGAAATGTCAGCCCCATAGCCCCTGCCCTCCAGGGGGAGACTCCACCCTGCTTCCCAGCTTCAGCAAAAAGCAGCGAAGCAGCCCACCCAGGCTGAGCACCCGCAGTGTGCCAGCCACTCTGCGGAGTGCCTGGGCTAAACTGGAGGGGGAGGTGTTGGCGCCTCCTAGGGGTCGGCACCAGAGGTGCTGGGACGGTGCCTCCCGTGTCTGAGTGCCCTTGTCTCCTCCCGCCCTAGCTTGCTGAACAACTACATGATCTGGAACCTGGTGAGGAAAACGAGTTCTTTCCTCGACCAGCGTTTCCAGGACGCCGATGAGAAGTTCATGGAAGTCATGTACGGGACCAAAAAGGTGAGCCTGCCGCGGTGCATCCCGCTGTGCTTGCAGAGGCCTGGCACAGACGACCACGTGCCCTCCTGGGGCCGGGGGACTCTAGACACACCCTACACCGGTGTCACCTCATTAGCATAAAATACACTTGAACAGGGACCTACGTCAGCAGCCATAGGGATTCGGATTGGCAACATGGGCTGGGGAGACGCAGTTTCCTCGCTAACATTTGTGTGATCCTCTCATCCTCACGGCCCCCTTGAAACCAAACCACTGCCACGGAGTCGATTCCCACTTGCAGCAAGCCTGCCACACGGAGGAGACTGCCCTGTGGGGTTTCTTAGGCCACCTCCACTGGGCCCTGCCCTGAAGCCCCCAGTCCCACAGCCCCTCCCCTAGCACAGGGAGCTGAAAGCACCACATGGGGGGAAGGCACAGGAAGGATGTGGACTCCTGTCGCCGCCGCACTGGGGCTGGGGCTCATCCTCTCTCGTTCCCACCTGGGCGACACAAGTGCCGCAGCACTCTGCTGCCCACCTGGGGCAGTGCTGCTCTGTGCACCTGGCTCACACCTGAGGAAGGGGGCTGCAGGTGAGGGTCTTAGAGGGACCCCTGGTCCTGGAAAGCAGGATTCCTCAAGACTTGACCCCGAGAGTCACCCTGGCCCTACAGAGAAGGAGAAGCGGCAGGGCCACTTTGCTGCCTGACTGGCCCACCTTCCTGCTCCACTGGCACTGCCTAGGTCCTGAGCCACTGATGTGAGTGACCAAGACATGGGCTCTGTCCCTGGAGTGTGTCATCTCTCAGGGACCTCTCCAGGTCTGATCAGGACCCAGGATGGTAGTTTCAGAGCTGTGTGTGCCTGGAACCCACTCCCCACTTGCATCATCACCAACCCCCCCCCCCCCGATCCAGGCTTAGAGATGAAGAATCAGATAGAGCAGCAGTTCTCAACCTGTGGGCCTCGGATGACCCTTTCACAGGAGTCGCCCGATTCGTAACAGTAGCAAAATTACAGTGATGAAGTAGCAACGAAAATAATGTTATGGTTGGAGGGGTCACCACAACATGAGGAACTGTATTAAAGGGTCATGGCATTAGAAAGGTTGAGAACCCCTGAGATAGAGGCTCAGAGAGGCAAAGGTCCTTTCCCAAGTCACCCAGCACCCTGAGCTAGAACTGCAGCCCAGGTCCAATGACTGCCATTGTCACGCTCATTCAGCTGCTCACTGATCTTGAGGCGGAGGATCAAGGTGTCCTTAGAGGATAGTCACTGCCTGCAGACATGGCTCTCTCTGTGTGCTAGAAATCATGACCACCCCACCCCCCTCCAGATGACAAGACCCAGGCTCAGGGAGGCGCAGGGACTGCTCGAAGTCACACAGCACATGGGTGGAGAGCTGGCTCTCGGCCCTGCCACATCCGAGCCCACCGTCCACACGCTAAACGTCGGCCCTCTCAGCCTCTGCCCCGGAGGAGCCAGAAATCACAAAGGAGCTGCTCAGACAGATTCAAAGGGCAGTTGTCTCTCACTACTGTGGCACTGGGACTGGGTTAGTCCCAGGTGACCCTGGACAAGAGAGGCTCTGACCTTGAGCTAGCCCTGGTGCCCCTCTGAGCCTGGTTTTCCTCATAGGTAATATAGAATCATTCCTGACCGACTGCCTCGCCTCCTGGGACCCTGTTCTGGGTCACCACTATCTACCTGGTTGTTGTTTGTAAGCAGTGGGGAGTGTGTGTGAACACTTGGGGCATAAGGGAGGCAGTGTGGAGCTGGGGGTCAGTAGCTCTAGCCCTGAGGTGCCCTTTCTAACTCAGGCACCCTGGTGGCAGAGTGCTGATTTGGCCTGCAATCCTCAAGGTCTGCAGTTGAACCACCAGCCCCTCTCTGTCCCATCCACAGTTAACAGTCTGAGAAGTCAGCAGGTGTTTGGTTTGGTTTTATCCCTCTAACCACTCAATCATGGGCACATCACATAACTGAAGGGGCACACAGGAGGCTTCTCAGCTGTAAAAAGAGGTAAATAATTTGCCCGGCTTCCCAGAGAGATGGACAGGATTGGGGGAGGAGGGGGGATCCCAGGAAAGCCTGTTCTAAAGGTTATAGACCAGCCGCACCAGCTGGGCCTCATCTGCTCCTACCTGTGTGTGACTTCAGAGTTCCAACAGTAAGGGTGAATCGCGCGTGCACACACACACACACACACACACACACACACACACACACACGCACACAGAGCTCCTCTCCCCCTCCTCCTGGCCTAGTGCTCCACAGACTACAATGAAGAAGGAGCTGGCTGGCTGCCCACGCCCCATTTTCCAGACTCAGTCACCATTCCCTCTGTGGCGACTACTTCCTGGCCCGGCCAGGCCTATCTGACCTTGTGTTCTTTGCCACGGGACTTTCTCACCACCATGTAGCCCTTTCGAGCATTGCGTGACTTGTGCACAGTGAGGGGGCCACTTAGAGGGCTTACATGTAACCAGACTCCTTGGGCTCAAATGCTACCTCAGCCCCTTAATCACTGCATGAGTCCCTTGGGCAAGTGACCCAACCTCTCCAGGCCTCAGTTTCTTTATCTGTGGGATTCTGACGGGTTGAGGAGGAGGCTGCAGGTGGAACACTTTGGGTAGGGCCTGGCTCCCAGTCAGCCCACTGCAATCACTGCAGAGCCCCTGAGCGCTGCGAATGGTAGCACGCTGGGCTGACCACCAACAGGCACTTGGAACCTCCCCTGGAGCTCCGAGGGAGGAAGACCTGGACATCCGCTTCCCTAGGGATTCCAGCCAAGAAGCCCCCACAGGGCAGTTCTGCTCTGTCCCCCGAGGCTGCGCTGAGCCGAGAACAAGCCCAGGGCACCCAGGACCAACAATGACCACAGAGTCATTAACAGGCTCGGCTGCTAACCAAGAGGTGTCAGGGTCCAGGCCACCTAGAGACACCATGTAAGAAGAACAGGTGATCACCTTCTGAAAAACCAGCCCTTGGAAACCATGTGGGAGGCTGGTCTCAGATATGCACAGGCTCACCCCGAGTCCAAATCCGCCCCACAGCCATGGGATTATTGCTGGTTTGTCACTCTGGCTTCTGCCCTGGTGGTTCTGGTACCGTAAATGTTCTGAGTTTCTCAGTCATGAGCCCTTGAGAGCAATGGGTCCCTCGATCCAGAGACCTCACACAGTCAGGGTACCGAGGTTCTGTCCAGAGAACACAGGATGAGTTCATGAGCACAGGCGTGAAGAACTGGCCTTAGCCAAAGAATCACCTGAGAAGACACACAGGAATCTGTCCATGATTCAGCCCTCCCAGCCTGGAGCTTCCACGGAGCCGAGAGGATTCTAGAATGCCCCTAGTCCTAACCTCCTCTGTGCCGATCCAGGTATAGCCTGTGTGGCCAGCTGCAGACTTCCCGGCTGTGGAAAGGAGGCTCTGGGAGGTGAGGTGGGGATGGAGCAGAGGCAGACACTCAGATGGACACGTGGCATGGAGAGCTGGAAAGAACTTAGACAACTAAATTTGGAGAAGGCTAGAGTGAGTCTCCCCCCCCCACCCCCCGCTTCCTGCTTGCCTTCCTGGAAGAACAAAATTTAACAAATACAGTTTACATGCAACCAAATACGCCGTACACCCTAAGTATTCAGTTCATTGAGTTTTGACAAATGAACGTGCCCCTGTAACCACCGCCCCAGGGAAGATGAGCATTTCCTTCACCCACCTGCCAAGTGTTCTCGGAGCAGAAAGTCCCCTCCGGCCCCTTTCCAGGTAATCCCGCCCCATAGACCCCAGTTCTGATTTCTATCTCTCTGACAGTTCTGCCTGGACTAGAACTTGAGGCTTCTCTTGCATGGCATGATGCCTGTCACTCCACACGTAGTCTTTGGTCCCTTTCTGTTGACAAGGCGCGGTGTGCAAGGCAAGTACTCACCTGCCTGTCAGCACCTGGGGGTTGATGAGGTCCAGAACATGGACAGGGTCCTCGGCAGCACCTGGATTGACGTGGCAGGGCTGCCACGTGGGACCCTGGAGGGAGGGACCCTGGACTGGCTGAATGAGCTGGAACCAGGGCTCCCCCTCTTTGCCGAGTCACCACAGTCCATGAGGCTGCCACCCACAGGGACGCCGGGTTCTGTTTGCATGGAGGCACCCTGTCAGCTAGAGGGGCGGACACCCCAGAGGACATCAGCCAAATGAAGCCCTTCTGCGTCCCTGGGGCACCCCCCTCTGGGAAACTGTAGGCGGGGCTGGCCCTGCCTTCTGGGAAGGGCTGAAGGGAACACCCCACCAGTCTCCTCCACCGGGAACAGCCCAGGGTGAGAGCATGGGGTGTGGCATCAGGGAGGTCTGAGCCCTACGCCCCGCAACACCCCACACTGGATGCCACAGTGACCGCCGCTTTCTGAGCCTGTTAGCTCATTGGTCACTGGCCCTGCATCCTGGATCACCATGATGATGATATTGTTGGTGAGTTCCAAGTGTAGAACTTGGCCTCAGACATGCTAATGAAGGATAGTCCATGGCCACTTGGCTCAGTGCATGAAATGATGTCCCCTGAGCAGGAAGGGGCTCTCTGGGGTTCTGGAGGGAAGCCTGGGGCCTCTGCAATGGGAAGGAGTCGGACGGGGGCTGAGCCGCCTTCGCCCTTGTCTTTTCCAGACGTGCCTTCCTCGCTGGAAGTTCTGCGTGAGTGACACCGAAAACAACCTGGGCTTTGCCCTGGGCCCCATGTTCATCAAAGCAACCTTTGCGGAGGACAGCAAGAACATAGTAAGTGTCTCGCCGCAGGCACAGGCCGGGGCCGCCCAGCTGCAGTGGCCTCTCAGGCAGGACAGTGGCCCCTCCAGGATCTGCTGCCTATAGGCCCCTGAGCCCCAGGCCTCCAGCCTGGACTCAGAGCTTCCGTTTGCTCGAGCCCTGACCGTGTGAATGACTCGCAATAGCTATCATGACTGAGTGTCAGACGCTTTACATAGTCACTCGGTTCACCTGCACAGCAACCCTTCTCAGCCTCACCTGTCTCCTGCAAAGCAGCTAGTGGGTTTGAACTGCCAAGCTCGTGGTTAGCCCATCACCATCAGAAGATAGACTTGTTCTAAAGAAACAGAGGGAGGGACACCATGGAGACCACCGGCCCTGGCTGGGTGACCGGGGGCAGTATTCTCACCTACCTCATCCCTCGCACAGAGGTGGTGATCCCCATCCGTAGAGGGAGGTCACATGAGATGCTTCATACAAAGGCTTAGCTGAGCCCCTGGAACAAAAAAAAGGGCTAATTAATGGTAGCCTACACACTAGAGCGATGGCCCGTGTTCCTGATACAAGTGAGAACATCGCTGTTGTGCGCGGTCCAGGTCAGAGAGCCGAGAGACAGGGCTTGCCAGTGTGCAGGGGAGGCAGAACCGTAGTCGAGGTCTGTTGGACATCAGCCCCTCTGCTCTTTCTGCTACCACAACTCTATCTTTTCCTTCTAGAATCTTCTGCTTTGAAATCTTCCTGGGACATTGTGACCCTCAAGGGCTGCCTTTCATCTTCAAATTTTTTTTTAATAAATCATTTTATTGAGGACTTTTACAGCTCTTATAACAATCCGTACATCAATTGTATCAAGCACATTTGTACATAGCTGCCATCATCATTTTCTTTTTTTTT